TATACGTAATTTATTCCATTATTTTGGAAGATGCTGATGAGTTTTTTTTCAAATGGAAAGAGGTTTACAATAAGCTTGCTTATTGAGACCTAATTATGTCCTTCTAAGAAGCAGGGGTTCCTATTTGTTTGCACCATTTGAAAAAGAATGCACAAATTGGGAGCACCAGAGAAATAGTTCCTTCTTAACACATCATTATCAATCAACAAATAATCGAAGGTCCTCTCAATCATGCGAGTTGTTCATCTATTATTGATGTGTAGAATTTTTGTACGAACCGACCACCCACGACCTCATGTTCAAGGTCATGTTAACCTCGAGCACTCCTCCAATGATATTCCTAGTTTTGGTATCCCCGATGATCACCCCCGACGAGTGAGCTCGAAGTATTCTCACCTACGTGTCATCTGTCTTCGGGGTTGAGGCTCCTCGAGGTAGTGTGCATAACCTCAAGGAGGTGATTCGATCCATTAATGAAACCACTAATGTCATTAATCTAGTACGATTCTACCACTAGAATTTTGTGCTTATTCAAATACTATATCACAACTTCAATCAAAGCACTTCATAACTGTTTAATCAGATAAGGAAGTTCAATTGATTTATCCTACTAGAAGTGCATTACTTAATCCTACTAAGAGTGTACTATATACATCTACAGATTCAAGGTATTTGATCATTATTCAAGTATGCATTTACATTCAATTTTATAGCCTTGTGATTATATTTTCCTTTCTCACTAACTTAAGTATCAAAGGGGCGACGAGGTCACACATCATTGCCTTTGTTTCAGGTACTGGAAATTCTATTCGTGCTCATTCTCGATTTTCAAGCTCGGATATCCTCAGGTGCAGATCATGATCTTGGTCATTCCTTGTCATCAAGCTCGGGTATTCATAGGTGCAGATTTTTATAGCTTCATAAGCGCCTTCTATAGGAAATACTACCAAAAGCCATGGTCAACACACCCTTAAAACCTCCTCCAACAAGCTCTTCCACTTAGGTTCAAACCCCTGCCAAGGATCCACAAGTTTCTCCAGGAGCAAGACCTGAAGTACCAATACCTCCAACCAATAAATGTTACATCGATGATGTTCAAAGCTCTTCGTCAACAAGTTGTTTTGTTGACTCAGTTGCTAAGTCAATAAATTCTATGGTCGATGCTCGAGCTCGAGTTCATTCTCCCGTTCCTGATATCGACAGCGAGGAGTCTCGGATAAACCAGGGCCACCTTTTACGAGTTTAGGTTCGTAGGGTCTGTTGCCATGACATCTAACGAGATTTGCAAAATCATTCAAGATGAAACCAGAACAATCAGTGACCGACGGGGTTTCACCCCTAAATGCTCTATTCACTTTCAAATTTTTGTCATACCTGGTGTTGACAGATTCAAATACACTCAAAGCCTTGCCTATGAGCAAGCACTCAAAGCCTTACCCACGAGAAAGCACCATAGCCTTGTCCCATTCAACCAGTTCTAAGCCTTGTCCACATAAATACATAAATCATTACCCTGCTCAAGCAAATAAAATCTTGTCCAGAGTAAGCATCTCAAGCATTGCCCAGCGCAAGTACATTAAACCTTGTCCCGTGCAAGCACTTCTAAGACTTACCCCACTCAAAAACCATAAGTCTTTCCCCATGCAAGCACCTTTAAGCCCTGCCCTACACAAACACCATAAGCCTTACCACAAGCAAGCACCTCTAAACCTTATCTCGAACAAGTATCTCTAAGCCTTGCCCCGCATAAGCACCTCAAAGCATTGCCTTCGAGCAAGCACCTTTATGTCTTGCACCGAGCAAACATCTCAAGCCTTATCCCAAGCAAGCACCATAAGTCTTGCCCCGCGCAAGCACCTCTAAGCCTTGCCCTGCTCAAGCACCGTAAATCTTATCCCAAGCAAGCACATAAAACATTGGCCTTCGTAAGCACCTCTAAGCCTTGTCCCACGCAAGCACCTCTAAACCTTACCCCCTTCCCCCAAGCAAGCACTGTAAACTTTGCCCTAAGCAAGCACCTCTAAGTCTCGCTCCGCGTAAGTACCATAGGTCTTATCCCGCACAAGCACTTCTAAGCCTTGCCATGTACAAGCATCCCTAATCCTTGTCCTGCACAAGCATCATAAGCCTTGCACTGAGCAAACACCTCATGCCTTACCCCTTATCCCGCACAAGCATCATAAGCCTTGCGCTAAGCAAACACCTTATGCCTTACCCCACACAATCACCTAAGCCTTGTCTCGTACAAACATCCTTACAAATACTTAGTACATTCAAGTAAAATTAGTTCTAAATTTTTATCAAGGTTGGGGTGCAACCCCTTTCCTTTCAAATTGTTATCAAGGTTGGGGTTGAGCTCCTTCATTTCAAAATTTTTAACAAGGTCGAGGTGCAACCCCATTTCTTTCAAACATTTTAGCATAGCTCCCAGTCGAGCTCTTTCCTTCAAATTTTTAAAATGTTTTAGACTTGCTATCCTAGATCTTTGTGCTTGGGGCCTATCAACTCGATATGAGCATGCCTCTTTTTTTAACCCAATGTACTTGTGCATCTCATTCCCGAAACTTGCACATTATGCACGAGCTCCTGACATGGATGCACTGGGGCCTACGATGTGTACAATTTTTTTACGAACCGACCACCCACAACCTCATGTTTGAGGTCATGATAACCTCAGGCAATTTTCCCAATGATATTCCTAATTTTGATATCCTCAAGGATCACCCTCGACGAGTGAACTCGAGGTATTCTCACCTCTGCGTCATCGGTCGTGGGGGTTAAGGCTCCTCGGGGTAGTGTGCAAAACCCCTAGGAGGTGATTCGGTCTATTAATGAAACCATTAATGTCATAAATCTAATAGGACTCTACCACTAGAATTTTATGCTTATTCAAACACTATCTCACAACTTCAATCAAACTAAAACTCCTAGGCTTTGGAAAGACCCCAAGTAGATGTAGCAATAGGTCGAGCCAGGCTCAGCTCGGCCCTAATTAGAACTAGCCGAGCTCGTGGCACGTCAGTAACGAGACGAACATTAAACAGGCGATATTTGGGGCTTGAGAACGGCTACTTAAATTTTAAGTGGGCGGAATTAAAAATCGTAAACGAACAACTTGTTTCATGTAAAAAAAATTTAAATAGAATTATAAAATAACAAATTTTGATTAATATGGTTAAATTAAATATTTCTTACTTCACGACATGCAATTTCGGCATATTTATCTCGCAATCGAAAATTAGCGTCATCCCAATCTTTCACACACATTAATACTTTCAAAATATCTTCTTTCAATCGGCTTCTGTTCTCGTACAAAATCCTCTTATCTGTACTAAAAGCAAACTCTAAAACTATAGTGATAACCTGGAGGTGT